GAGCTCAAAGATAATCATGTCTGATCTGACAGAAGCCTGGAAGTGAGTGCGTGAGGTGGTTATAAAAGGCTCCTACCCCCCAAGAACAAGGTATGCTAACTTTTGCGCTATCTGGCTTATCTTGCCTTTGAAAGACTCTAACTTGAGCTTCGGAGCCCTTACGCCGGGTTCTCCCCGGAGCTTCTTCACTCCCTCCGTTTCAGGTCCCCTGCCACCCAGTTCAGAGGCAAGATCGTTGATAGCTAAGATCGGTCGAATTGTGCATCATCACTTACTATGACTTTTTAGCATTTCTCTTAAACTCACCATAATTTTTCAAAACATCCAGGAAACCCAATTTCGGTAAGCTTTTGTTTTCCAAAACTCATCATCCGTTAGAACGCCATTAGTGTTTATTAACAGTAATTGTCTACATCACATAAATGCAATTTTCATGATCAAACTATCCCTGAACGGCGAATCACCTTTATTAAACACATTTTTATGACTACAATGCCCTTACACGTCCAATTGCCTTGTAAATTTAGTGTTAAACATGAGAAGTTGCAAAAAAACTTGGGAAAATCAAAATATATTTTTTTCAGCCAAAAATAAAAAAATTACAGAAAATGCATAAAATGATAAAAAAATAAAAAAATGTAGTTCAACTAAAAAAGAAAAAAATGCATAAAATAGGTACAAAAAAGATAAAAACTCACAAGTATATATTTCATCAAAAAATCAGAAATTACAGAAAAGTACATAAAATAATAAAAAAATAATTCAAAAATTGGGGCCCCATTTGGTGTCTTTCCGCGCGGTCTACCGGCTATTTACAAGCTTGGCAGACCGCAATTCGGTCTTTTCCCGTTTGGTTCACTATAGATATAGCCACCAAAAGCCGACGTGCCGAAAAGACAAGAGAAGCCCAAAACGTCCAATTGCTAGCTATTTTTTTTTCTATTTGTCTTTGCGCAGAAAGACACACTAAAGGACACGCCTTAACCAAATGGGCCTTACGCTGCTCAGATCTTAATGCAATAGCTCAATGTGTCTTTTGACTGTTAGAGCTACCGAAAAATCTTCCCAAAAAGACTTGCCAAATGGCCTCTATATGTTTCAAGTAAAAACATCTAAAAACAATAATTGCAAAAAATATAGAAAACCATACCAATTTAGAAAAAAAGTGGAAATTTCGAAGAACGAAAAAATTAAAAAATATATATTTCAGATTTCAACTAAAAACAAAATTAAAAAAGAGAAATTTTGATAAAAATATTTCAAAGTTGTAGAAAACACAGAAGCTGCCTTCGTTGAGTAGCGCTGGCTATTCTCTGTGACCTGTGTGAAAGCATAGAAATCCCTGCATGGTTGCATCGAGTTTGGATCTCCTACACACGAGAACTCTACCCACGTTTACCCACATAACATCGCAACCACACATGGAGAAGATCTCATCTTCTTGCATAGTATTATGCAGGGGGAGATATTCCCGGTTCACGGGGGTAGTGTGTTGTGAGTAGATGTGGGCAGGAGCTGGATTCTTATCATTTCTAGAGCTGAAAATATTGAAAAGAAATGGATTTTTATCTGAATGCCTAGGTTTGGTTAATTAATACATGTACCCTTATTGTTCGTGGATGTTCATTGTTACATATATGTTTAAGAAGATATCAGTAGCTTGCTTTTGGGGTTTCTTGCATGGGCTTATCAAGCCATCCAACCTCTGTGGTTCTTCAAATGGTACACCTATAATAGGGCCTAGATTAAAACTAGGGATGGCAATTTTCCTTATTTTTGACGGGGATTTGACTTCCCCAATCCAATGGGGTCGGGGATGGGGATTGTTTTGGTAGGGCGGAGACGGGGATGGGAATTAGTAGGAATCCCCGATCGGGGTTGGGGTCAGGGATGGAGATTGAGGTCCTTGCCCTGCCCCGACCTCGATTATATATATTTAAATGTTATTTATATTAAATATACTATACTATACTATTATATTTATATATATATATATATCAAAACATATTTAAAATATTATTTATAATTTAAAATTTTTATTTATTTTAAGTAAATTTATTTGTCCTCCATCTCTGAATCCTCGCGGGGAGTCCATCCCTGTCGGGGATCGGGGATGGATGACAAATTTTATCCCCAGTGGGGATTAGGGACGGGGATGGGGAATATGATCCCCACCCCGAACCCACCCCATTGCCATCTATATATACTAAAGTAGAGCTTGCTATGTCAGCAACCCTCTCCTTTCTCCATTACCCCAATGGAGCAATTCTAGAAAGAGTGCAAGATTCCCTCTAAAAGCACTAGGACTTGCCACCTCAGCAACTCTCACCCTTTCTTTTCTCCCTTTTACTAGGAAAATCACATACGTGAGAAGTTTTTATTGGGAAACCACATAATTGGGACTCCGATACTTGGATTTTGTTTACCTCGATTGCCTCTCACACGCCTCTCTTCTAGGCTTCTAGCTATTTATTCGCTGACTTCTAACTACCTTTTTCTAAAAGACTAGGTGGTCTATGTTTATATTCTGAAAATCTTACTGTAAAAGAGGATACATTACAATCGTTCTGAATCTCTTTTTTTCTCCCAACTACATCTCTGTGTTTGAACAATGGCAACCTTATTTAATCTAACAAAGTGATTATTTTTTTAGTAAAATTATACTGATTCAATAGGTACAAAGTTTGTATTGGCACCATTAATTCTCTTTTTTTTCTTCTAATTCTCTCTTTTTTTTTTCCTTCTAATTTTAAGATTTAAGGGAACTCGGAAGAGTTGCATATTGAAATGGATGAATTATATGTAACAGGAGTCAAACAAGGATGCACATCTTCAATCTCACGCTGCCTAGATCATCATTGGAAAAGGTACGGTTTCTTGTGGAGATATGTACCATTGTTTTCGCACATTAAAAGAGGGGCTTTTAAACAGGGACTCTGCCCCTATGTTTTCTCAACGTTTTTTTTTAATATATAATGGCATCCGTAGTTCTGTTTTCTCGTTTTAAAAGAGTATTAAGAACTAAATCTATATAAAACAATTGTTTAAACACCTAATGCACCTGCTGTGCTCAGCGGCACTATAGATGGAAACGGGTGAAAGAGATGAGTTAAATGGGTCGGATTATCCACTACATGATCCATTTAACTAAAGTGACATGTTTGGTGGATCGGGTATTGGTTTACCATTAACAGTTCCGACCCATTTTGTATTTTTTAAGTAATTTTGGATAATTTATTAGTTTTTGATAATTTTTAGGTAATTTACTACCTTTGGTAATTTTCAAGTAATTTCTGGTCCTTTATTTATTTTTTATTTTTTTGGTAATTTTCAGTATTTTTAACTAAAAAATAATTAATGAAAACTTACCAATAATTATTTTTGTTACTAATTAAATTATATTTTAATTTTTATTAATAACATTTTAATTTTTACTAAAAATAAATTTTAGGTAAAACTAAAAAATAATTTTCTGTAATTTTTGGAATATACTGTTTTTAGGTAATTTTTAGTTAATTTACTGTTTTTACTAACTTTTTAGTTATAAATATTACCAATATAATTTTCATGAAAAGCTAAAAATACCAACAAATATTGTTTTTAATAATTAATAATTTTCATTTTTATTAATAAATAACTCATACCAAAATTAATTAATCGTTTTCGAAATTAGTTAAAAAATCCCAAAATTCAATTAGAAATCTATTATTTATATTCATGATTAAATAAAAGTTACCAAAAGATATTACCAAATATTACTGTTAAAATACCAAAAATAGCTGTAATAAATTAAAATGATTGGTGTTAATTATGTTAGTTGATGAATTTGTGCTTTTAATGTTTGACTTTTGCTTCACTTAAATTTATGTTTTGAAAATTGTTGTATATTTATTTTAAATTATTGTTATTTAAAAAAATTGTTGTTAGTTAAATTTAAATTTAAGGATTATAGCTGTTAAGGGCAACTTTTGGGCCCTAATATCAATAAAAATAATCCTTTTAATATAATTTCTAAAATAGATTAACTTTTTTAAAAATATATCAAATAAAGGCAAAAACACTGTTCATCTTCTTCCTCTCCAAACGATCGAATAAATTTCTCTCAATTAGTATGCACGTTCTAGGACACCTGAATCGGGGACCCCCTGTCCACTTCAATCCTCTCGTTTCTCCTAAATTTTCACTTCAATCGCTTAATCTGCAATGCCCTTTTTCTATTGAAACTTAAACAAAGCTTGGGTTCGTCGCCACTCATGCAGCAATTTCCGACAACACTTGGTTGGGTTTCCCTGTTTTGGTTCTGCTGTATGCTTCCCTTTGAGAATTGCCGACAAGAAGGGTCATCACACCGTCAATGACGACAGTGATGTAGAGCCCAGATTGGGGTTCGAGGTTGGAGGTGACGAACTTGGCTCTGGTGAGATCCCAATAGATTTCATCTTTTCAACCTCCTTCTTCGTCAGATTGGCGTTGTCGGAGGTGGGTGGAGCGGCGACGACGACACTGGTGGATAGTGGTCATTGAGGGTGATGGCAAGAAGTTCTTGTGAATTGAACCCCTCAGAGGAGAGAGTGAGAAGATTAAGGAGGGAGAAGGAGGAAGTGGCAACAGAAGGATGAGCTTGGAGGGCAGGGGGAGGTCTTCGGTCTAGTAGTAGAAGTGGGAGAGATTGAGAGAGGTGATGGTAGAGCAGTACTCCAATAGAGGAAGGAAATTAGATCCGGGAGGGATGATACTAGAGCGTTGATGCCAACGAACAAGCTTGACGTGATGGAGGGAGGGCCATTGAAGGGCAAGGAGGAGGAGAGTGGAAGGCGTATGAGCGTGGAGGGTGAGGGAGGTGATAAGTGGGAAGGCTTGGCGGAGGAGTTGGGCGAGGAACACTGCATTTGGAGAGGAGTCGAGGGGTGATTGGCCCCATGGCAAGATAGGAAAGCGCCAGAGGAAGAAGATAAACAGTGTTTTTGCCCTTATTTGGTATATTTTAAAAAAAGTTAACTTATTTTAGAAATTATATTAAAAGGATTATTTTTATTGATAATAGGGCCCAAAAATTGCCCTTATCAGCTATAATCCCTTAAATTTATCTATTAGTGACATAAATAGAGGAATTATTACAAATAGAAAATAAAACAACATTTTTAGCTAAATAAATAGACAAAAATTACCTTAAAAGTGTATAATTTAGCAAAAAATACCAATAATTTAAAAAAATGCGTTAAATTTTCCAAAAATATTCATAAATTACCACAAATGATGATGAATCACCGGTAATTAACAAAAAATACCATGAATAATAGAAATTTCCCACGAAATTGTAAAAAATAGCACAAAATTATATTATTAGTAAATTCCCGAAAATATGAAAATTACCATGTCCACGAAATAGTAGAAATCAACACAAAATTATTAGTAAACTAGCAAGGACTTGTCCTTTGCATGGGCTTTGTCAAAAGAATTTGAGGCAAAGGGAGGTAATAGTGTAACTTGGGTGGGCCCGACTTAAGTCTAACCCAGCTTAACCAAAGCTTTTGCACAAGTTGGGCTTAAGTTTTCAAACTTGAAGCTGGACTATGCCAAAAAAATTCAAATCTAATTTAAACTCATGTTAGGCTTGGGTAGCTTAAGCTTTACTTGACCAAATTTGAGCTTTCCTAACATTTTACGATATACATATTTACATATTATCAACATATTTTCCTTCTACAAAACTCAACACACCTAATCCCAAGCCCAACCCAAGATGTTGGATTAAGCTTGGGTTGGGGCTGAGTTGGAAAGTTCGAATTTAAACTTGGTTTGGTAAACTTAGGCCTTGGTTAGTAAATTATCTGTAATTATTGTAATTTATTAGTGTAACTTGGGCCTTGGTTAGTAAATTATCGTTAATTATTGAAAAGTACCAGTAATTTTTTTCATACCGACCTTGGTCCAACATGAGATTAACCCAACGTCTTGAGTTGGGCTTAGGTGTATTTAGCTTTGTAGCCCAATTTTTTAGGTGGAATAGATTGATAATATGTAGATATGTATATCATAAAATGTTGGGTAGGCTCAAATTGAGATGGGTTGGGTTGGGCTACTTGATTCCTCAATCTAGGTCCAACCTAAGTTTAGGTTAGGCTCGAGTTTTTTGGCTTAAGCCCTGTTTAAAGTTCAAAAACTCAAACCCAACCTGTAAAAAAAAGTAAAAAACTTTGATTGAACTAGATTGGACTCAAATTGGGCCCACCCAAATTGCACCCCTAACTCCTTTTGCTTCAAAGAAAACTCATGCATGGCACAGTCCCCACTATTTCTAAGGGCAAACGATGCAAATAAAGTGTAAATACAAATATGAAGAGAATAAATCGTTCATGTAAATGCAAACATGACAAATAAAGTGTGAATGCAAATATACATTCACAAATTTACCTTCTTATCACACAGACTTTTAGTTGTAATGGATGCAAACATGAATCCAAATAAAATATATGCTTTTTTTAACAAAAACCTACATTGAATGCAAATTTACTTATTTTTTATTGACTACATTTACATCTCCTTTTGAACGTAAATATGCATTGAAAAATGTATTTTCTACACATAATTGTATTCTTGCCAAACACCGGCAAAACTGAACCAGAATACATTCCTAATTAAAAACTCAGAGCTATTCATTGTATAATTTTGCTTTCACTATTTTGATAGTTTGAATCATTCAATTCCATATCTGAGTATAGAATTTGTTGATGCTAATGGGCTAATGGCGTTATTTCCAGCAAACTGCTGAAGAACTTGGCGTCTACTTGGTGTCTTTTGATATGGAGGGTTTCGTTGCAGAGTCTCTGTCGTTTATCTAATGGTGCTCCTCGTCGTCTTCTATACCATTGGAAATCTCAAGGCGATTTCCTCGGCGGCGAGGGAGGAAGAGGGAGTTTCGAAGAGGAAGAGAATGACGGAGCCGCAACAGACGGAGGAGAGGAGGAACCATAAACCCTCAGCGGCCGCCGGTGCTGTCTCTCCGTCCTTTGCCGCTGCTTTTCTCGTCTCCCTTGTGGCCTTTTGCTTTCGATCTTTGAAGATACAAAGTACGGAAATCTCTCTCTCAATCTCTGATTTTCAGATGGAGGCAGAGAATAGGAGATGCTTATCGAAGAAGAACGGGAGATGGAGAGAGGGAGGCGGAGACAGAGAAGGGCGGAGGCGCAGAGGTTGAGGCAAAGGGTTATGTTCGAATAGTAATAAAGGGTAAAATGGTAATTACAAACACTCGATCGTCTGTCTCTTAACGCTGAAAAATCATGTTACATTTTAGATAATTTCTCTTAATTTAATTTATTTATTTAGTTTGTGGTGAATGAAACGCGTCCGTGTATTATTGGGGAGTCGCAAAGAAAGTGACGTGAACGGCCATGCCAGGTTAGCATGCACGGCAAAATGTGAAAAATTGAAGCAACTGGTCGGGTCAACTTGGTAGGCGACCGGCAGCCCCGGTCATATCTCTTGTTTTTTCGCGTATAAAAGTGAGAGTTGAAAATGCAACCCGTCTTCTGGCATTTCTGCAGTCATGTTTTCGGTGGATTAGGGTTTTGGTCGGAGATATTTCATCCGAAGGGGAAAGAGGGAATACGTTCATCCCAAAATTTCTCTCTAATTCCCTTTTTGAGCTTTTCTCTACTTCGTTCGATCATCAACGGACTGTTTGCTGGGTTGCTCTTTCCGTTTTTTATTTTTTTTCTGGTGAGTAATTTCGTTTAGATAGCTACAAGTTTACAAGTCATGCTCTCTGCCTATTTATGGTTTATTTGAGTAGAAATTTTGGGTGCTTTTTAGGTTTGTTTATGATTGTCATTTGTCTCGATGTGAATTTGGGTTTTGGATTACTGATAATTCTGCCTTTTGATTTTGCGACTGCTTTTTGTACTGCAAGATTTGTTTTTGGGGAAACGTGGATGCTCCTTGTAGTTGAACGTTGAGCTTGTCCTTTCCCCTTTTCTTGTGATTTTATGGAATATTTTCGGGCGAAACTTGATTTGCATTTAGAAAGTTGGGGGCTTTTTTACAGTTGGTGAATTGGGGTCTTCTTGCTGTTTGCTTCTACTTGTGATTTTATTTTTTTCTTTTGATTTGGTTTATTGTTTACAATTATCTGTTTCAAGTTGAAAGCTGACTTGGGATAGGGTTTTCCCTCTTCTGGTTGAAATTTTACTTTTCTTTCTTGAATATAATTTTGCCAATGCTGAATTTTGTTGGTACTGTGAGTTTACCCATATTTGAGTTTATGATACACCCATTTCTTTTAAATATGTCGAGGACATAGAATAATAGATTGCTGTTCTGGAATCATCGTTATGTTTGTTTTGTTTTGAGGGATAAGTGTCTTATAATTGATCTTTCTAAGAAGTTTTTGGTGATTGTAATTTGTACTTGCAGATATAAGTGAGGCGTGTACTTGATGGGAACATCTTCTGGTGCCAACTTCCACCACCAATCGGCCTCAAAGATGTTGCCTCCACGACAGCAGTCACGAGCTGGAGGATTACAGACTTCCCTATCCCTGGCTTCATCAGAAGCTGGTGGATCCCCAGATCCCCAAGAGCCTGGTTCAAATTCAGAGCAGGTCCGTGAGTCCCCATCTGAGAGTGCCAGTTCACATGAAACCTGGCCTACTGGTGATGCTGTTCTTATGGGAAAAAAGCTGGAGAAGGAGAAGGAAGGGGAGAACGATTGCCCCGAACAATCAGTTATCCGTCGGGTTTCTAGTTCAGATAAGTTGTCTCTGCGGGATGTAGCTAGAGAAAGGGTTGAGATTATCTCTGAAAGAATGCATTCTCTGCCAGATGAGCTTCTAGAAGAGCTGAAGAGCGAACTCCGTGTAATCCTTGAAGGAACCGGTGGATCTCAGCATAGAGACGAGTTCTTGATTCTGCAGAAGCTCGTTCAGGCTAGGCCTGATTTGACAGCTAAGACCTTGATTAGAGCACACAGGGTACAACTAGAAATTCTTGTCGCAATAAATACAGGAATCCAGGCGTTTCTACATCCAAATATCAGCCTGTCACAGACATCTCTCATTGAGATTTTTGTGTACAAGAGATGCAGAAACATTGCATGTCAAAACCAGCTTCCTGCAGATGATTGCACCTGTGACATATGCACCAATAGAAATGGTTTCTGCAATCTTTGCATGTGCGTGATCTGTAACAAGTTTGACTTTGAAGTGAACACATGCCGCTGGATTGGTTGTGATCTGTGTTCTCATTGGACTCACACAGATTGTGCTATCCGTGATGGACAAATTGGCATGGGCCCCTGTGTTAAGAATGGAGCTGGTGCCACTGAGATGCTTTTTAGGTGCCGAGCTTGTAATAGGACATCTGAGTTGTTAGGATGGGTCAAAGATGTGTTTCAACACTGTGCACCTTGCTGGGATCGAGAGGCTTTGATGAGAGAACTGGATTTTGCTAGTAGGATCTTCCGTGGAAGTGAGGATTCCAGAGGGAGAAAGCTGTTCTGGAAATGTGAAGACCTCATTGAAAAGATAAAGGGTGGGCTTCCAGAGTCAACAGCCTGCAAATTAATGCTGCATTTCTTCCAAGGTACTTGCTTTTCTTAAGCATTTAAGTTAGTTGACTCATGCTTGACATGATTAGCTTGAAGAGTGGCATCTGAAATTGAATTAACATGGAGACTAGTGATGGTTGGAACTATTTTTCAATTTCCTATATGCCTTATATATATCAATTATTAGTCATTAATCTAGCTTGGTGGAGCGGTGCAACTTTTTAAGGACCTCTTGCATGAATGTTTACAAACATCTTTTTATGTTGGTGTTTCTACAGTGTTGAAAAAGTCCTCTAGGGTGGTCCATATCCAGGCTGTTAGAAGGTTATTGGAACATATGCACATTATTTGTGCAGTATGGTTGATGGAAACAGGCAAACTCAAACTTCAGGATATAAATTTTGTTCCCTAGGATGTTTGTTTATTGTTCTAAAGGGTGGAACACTGTTAACTGGGACCCTAACAGGTCTGAATTTGAGTAGGAGGTTTTGGTGATGCTACCTATGGTCCTTTTGTGTGGTCTATAACAGTCAAAGAATGCCAAGGGCAGCCCTCTCCAACAAGTATATGCCTAATACCAAAAAGAAAAAAAAGGGAATTCATGTAGGTCAGTGTGTTAGGCCGCTATTAGAGAACTTTATTAGCACTTTCGCTGTCTAAACCATGAGCTACCAAAATAATAGATTTCAGAACCCACCAACACTAAGGTGAAGCCTGGTATGTAGAGACTGTATTTCTCTGATATGATAAGTATTGCCTCCATGGCCTTCTGGTTCACTATCTCATCCAACCAATGACAATTACAAGTCTCTTATTCTATGAATTTTATGGTCAATAGAGATAGACAGTCAGAATTTCTGAAGTAGAGATAGCAGTTATTACCATCAGTGGATCATCAAAACCAACAAGCATAGAAAGTTATAATATTATGTTATTACCATCTTTACCTCCTTTGCTAAAATGACTAGGTTCCCCAGTGGGCACATGTCAAAATTGAGTTTGGTGGTACTCCCACTGGATGCATCATCCTATATGAAGTCTTAAGGTACAGCTTTTGAGACCCATCCATCATAATACCTTTGAATATCCCTGATTTCTGGACCAAACCATTCAAATTATGATAAGATCGATCACTGTTGGAATTGGATTTTGCTTGTTTTTGAGTATCTAGTATTCCCTTTCCAATTCCCCATATTCCCCATAAGACAGTATGAAGCAAAACTCTCTAGCCATGGGCTTGAGTAAAAGTTGGGTTTGGAATGCATATAGGTATTTTGGTTTGAGAAGGGTTCAAGTTGTGGTTACACCATCTTGTCAGGGCCTGGGATGATAGCTTGTGTGTATTAAAATCTAATAGGGTTCTCAAGCATAATAAGAAGGAAGTGAAGACAAAATGGAAGCTTCTTTTATTCAAACAACAGTGGCTACTCAAGATTGTACCGTCCTCCTTTTCTAAGCACAATATCATTCTCATGCTTTTCTCTCTTCTAAGTTTCTAATTCTGTCCAAGTACTACTACTACTACTACTACTACTACTACTACTACTACTACTACTAAGATGACAGAAGCAATGAAAGTATAGTGAAATCTTTGGGAATACTGATGCTTTTACTAGGGAATCAGTCCCAAGGTCTGATTTGGAATAGGGGCTCTGAGCCTAGTGGATAATTTTTCAAGTTAGCTTGCCTGTTGAAGTGTTGATACCCCCATCTAAAGTTAGTTTCTTTCAGAAGTGCAAAATAACAACCTTCTTTATTGAAAAGATCTGTACTTTGGTGTACTGAATTACCTTGTTCAGGCACCCTTTTGTTAAAAACTGATATCAATATCCAATAATTGTTTTAGTTTGGTTATCCAGTGCTTTGTTCAAGGTCAAAATGTAGCGCTGCTATTCTAGGTAGACAATCTGCTATTGAATAAAAAAAGTTCATTCCTTTGTTTCAAATTTTGTGATCTTAATTTTCTTCATGCAGAACTTGAGGTAGACCTGGGGAAAAACCCCGAAACAGAAGAAGGTGGTCGCCTGATAGCCCCACAGGAAGCATGCAACCGGATTACAGAAGTAGTGCAGGAGGCCATAAGGAAAATGGAAATGGTTGCTGAGGAAAAGATGCGAATGTTCAAGAAAGCCCGTTTAGCTCTTGAGGCCTGTGACCGGGAGCTTGAGGATAAAGCCAGAGAAGTGGAGGAGCTGAATTTGGAGAGGCAGCGGAAAAAGCAACAGATTGATGAGCTAGAGAGCATCGTGAGGCTTAAGCAGGCTGAGGCTGACATGTTCCAGCTTAAAGCCAATGAGGCAAGGCGAGAGGGTGAGAGGCTCCAGAGGATTGCTCTTGCAAAGTCAGAAAAGGCCGAGGAGGATTATGCCAGCAGATATCTGAAACTCCGGTTGAATGAAGCTGAGGCTGAGAAGCAATACCTGTTTGAAAAGATGAAGCTTCAAGAGAGTTCACGGGTATCTCAAAGCAGTGGAAGGAGTGGCGACCCTTCCCAGATGTTGATGCTTTGCAAGATCCAGGACCTGCTCAAGAACGTGTACAATGTGCCTCCAAAGGTAGAAGGCCAGCCTAATGACCATTCTCTTGGTGCAGCTCCTTGAAAGACTTAACCTTGTTTCTGCACGAAGTGGAATGATGATGTAGTGCTACTGTGCTACTAGTTGTTTTGCTTTGTGGTCTCTGAAGTCTGAACTTGTTATGTTGGTAGTGAAACCCATTAGCCAAATAATTCGTGTACAGCTAAAGACATGCGTTCATATGTAAATCCGCATGCTTTGCATGTTCGTAGCATATGTAGCAGAGTGGTGTAAACTGTAAACTCAGAGAGAGGGAGAGAGAGAGGTGGGAAGCATTCAGACTTGATTGGGTACGTACTGTACAAACCCAACTTCGGGTAGGGAACTGAGGATTGTGTTTTGTTCTTAGGCATGCAGCATGGTGAAAAACGCAACCACTTATCATTACATGTAGTACTCAAGCCTCCAATTATTATTCTAACATTTATTATAAGACTGTCCCTTTCACCCTTTGTTTTTGCATCCATGCCTGGAGACTGGAGTGGGGGCACTAAAGATAGGTCCTGACTCGTGCGTATGGTAAAAACTAGACTTAAAGAGTGTACTGAAGCTGAACCGAAGCGAATTGCAGCCCAGCTATATATGCACATGGTTGCATTCATCCATTGATATTATGACGGATTTCAATTGCCTTTGCTAATGCTTGCTGTCCATAATCAGATGCACTGTGCCATGACATGAACATGGTTTTGTACAAAATTCTTCAAGGGATGGCAAATATCTTCTTTTGCAGTCCTTTGGCTGTAAGATGGTTCTCACATGCTAATCTAATAATGGCTCATTGATCGTTGATTATTGAAAACCACATTTTATTAAAAAAAAGCAAAAAACAAAAAAGAGAAATTCTGTAATATTTGCTTTACGATCTGGTGAGACCTAGTATTCAATGACTTTGTCGATCCCGTGGCACCTTATGGAAGAGCTTTGGCAAACATTAGGTGCTACAATTTGGGCGTTATTAACCAAGAAATTCGACCGGCCGTGGTTCTGGATAGTAATCATCCTGGTTTGGATGCCAGATGGGATAAGGGTCCCTGTAGGGAAATGTAGAAAATCGTTGTAGTTGAGAGGGGTTGGGATCGTATGACTTAGTATGAAATTTCGGAGGGAGCTCACGGAGACGGAGAACTCGGATAGTTTTCTGTCTTCTGGCATCAAGAAGGTTACTTCCCCACTTAGTTGTGGTTGGCTACCATTGCTGTGCAGCAACTCTAGAAGCATTACGAAACTATAGTAAGACTTTGATCTCATTTCGGCCATGGCCACATGTAGATCAGTCCGGTTGGCAGTGGCTTCTGATTTGGGGATGGTGAGGAGAGCAAGAAAGATGAAAAGATGGAAACCCATTTTGAGAGACCCTGAGAGCCTAAAGATTTGGAAGGTTTGGGATGGCAGAGAGATAGTTGGAGGAGGAGGAGGAGGAGGGCTAGAATTATTATTTGATGGCGAATATAACGTTTACTCTCAAATCTTCACACTCGATGCATGAACAATTTAATACATGTTTTAGATTTAGATATAGCAGTGAAAGCACAGTTGCAAAGTAGGTCATACATGTAATTTGGTGGTTGTATACTTGTATTGAGTTTGGGACCCAAGAGTCGATCGTTAGCATGTGTTTCGGTGCCCATTCGCTTTGCTCGTGTTGAAAATCTTAACTCCAACAAGTCCCAACTCAAAGCACTCTTAGTTCCATCACGGCATCACCATTCACCAACTACGTAACTAACATCCCACGTCAGTTCAATGCAATTGAATAATTTGATTTGAAGTTGGTCATGAATTATTAGAAATGGGGGAAGAGCATTAGCAAAATTAAGGGGTAATGTGGTGCGGCCCCATACATCCTCTATCCTTTTTCTGAAAATGGCGGTCGGAACATGTCAGGGGTCCAGTTCCTAGGTCGAATAGTCCGACCATTTGAACCGAATGATCAGCCCATTTTGACAAAAAAAAAATAAAAATAAAAAATGGTCAAAACCGTTGAATGGTTCGAATGCCCGGGTCAGCAGTTTGCTGACTAAATCAATGTTTTTTTTGCAAATATCCAGTTTTGGGGAAAAATGGAACCGGTCTCCTGATCGGTTCCCGGTTTTGAGGAAAAATGGAATCGATCAGATGATCGGTTCCTGGTTTTTCCGGTCTGACCGTCTGATCCGGTCCGGTGCTCTAGAAGCCATTATGGATACCTCTCAACTTGTCCTTGTCCGGTCCCATCTCATGTTTACTTGGTCTCAAGATGGGACATGTTGAGCCACTGCTTTAATAGCCACAAGTTATCGTCTTCCTCAGGCCCTAGTTTCTCACTTTGCATCCCTTCTTATTGAGCCATCTTGCTTTTTCCCAAGCAGTATCAAGTATCCAAAGTGGCGTGAGGTTATGGGCCAAGAGTTTGATGCGCTAACGGGAAGTGGTTTTGCGAGATTTTACCTAATGACCCACATATAAATGTTGTTAGATCTAAATGGGTCTATGGCTTAAATATAATGTTGATGTCTCTCTATAGAAGTGCATGCAAGGCCAGGCTTATTTCTCAAGGATTCAATTGGAAACTTGGGGTTGATTGATGTTGGTGAAACTTTTAGTCCTATTGTTAAATTTACTACCATTTGGCTTGTGCTTAGCCTTGCATTCACTTGGAACTGGCCCATAAAGAAATTAGATATCTCTAGTGCCTTTTTACATGAAGATCTTGTCGAAAATTTTTATATAAAGCAACCTAAAGGTTTTGTTGATCTTCAATTTCACAAACATGTATGCAAACTTAAAAAGGCCTTCTGTGGTCTTAAACAAGCTCCATAGGCTTGATTTTATTAGCTACAAGTTAAACTGCTTGATTTGGGATTTGTTTTAGCTTAGGCCAATCCATCATTGTTTTTATATCAACATGGTGATGCTATTATTTTTCTTTTAGTATATGTTGATATACTTGCTACTGGTAATTCTATTATAGCTCTCTCTTAATTTACTCTCTTGTTGAAGCCTTTGCCATCAAAGACCTGGGATGCTTGCACTACCTCCTCAATCTTGAAATTCATTGATATGATGTCAATCTTGAAGTTCATTGATATGATGATGTTATTCAACTATCTCAAAAAGTATACATAATAGATCTCTTACTAAAGTGCAAGATGGATGGTGTAAAACTAGTTTCCACTCCTATAGCCTCGAAGACCGATGGCTCGCCCCTATTGGATCCTTTAGAGTATTGTAGCATGGTGGGTGCTTTGCAATATGCTTCACTCGGCCTAAGATATCATTTGTAGTAAATAAACCCTGCTAGTTCCTTCAAAAACCTATTGATGTGCAATGGGGCTTTGTTAAGTGTATACTTAGGTATTTGAAGGGGATCATTGATTTTGTGCTTGAGTTTATGTTTTCCATTACTAAATGTTTTTTCTTCAATTATTAGACATTAATATTTTGTGTTGAATTGAATTGTTAGACATTGATGTGGTTATAATTTTAATAGACCTTGTCTATATGCTCTTGTATGTTGACTATGATGTATTATTCTGTTATATTGAATTTTGTATAATATTTCTATGCATATCAATGCATATTTATGTATATTGTAATTTTTCTTCTATGTGTGTATCCAAGGGATATCTCGATACGCTATGCGTTTTTTATATTTTAAACATTGATTTATGATATCACAAGTTAATAACTGAACTGCTGATTCACAAAAAAAAAAAAGTGATTCCATTATGAACTAAATTGGTGTTTATTTAGGAAAAACAAAAAGTTTCTTCACAAGATTATCTAGTGATGGGTGTATTTCGTCCAGGTTGAATTACCACATGGAGGTTGATGTGGCCGAAGACCTGGCCATGAGTTCAGCCAGATTGGCAACGCAGAGCACCATTGTACATTAGAGGAAACAGCAACAATGCACATTGAGAACCTTTGACTAAGAGGGGCATGTGGCAAACGATGGGCTTTGCATGGCCTCCCACGATAAGGAGCATGGAATTGCCCTAAAGCCTCGATCGAAGGCTACTCCAACGCATGCCATGTGTTCCAAAAAGTGAGGAGAACCACAACATCCTCTTATGGATATTTAAAGGCACGTTGCATGAGGTATTATCTTAATCCACTCCCTACATTCTAGCCTTCTCACTCTCTTGCTCTTCATCTCTGTTCGGTTAAAAACAATACGTTCTTAGCAGCTTGACCTAACTGACATCTTTTCTGTCTTGTTGCCTTGAACATTGGAGTTCTCTTTCCCAAGAAACCACATTAGGGCCTTTGACTTCGGCTTTTGTAGGTTGTTGGACTCTCTTTAGCTCGTCATGCACAGTTTGTCCATCGCACCACACCCATCTTGGTTCATCCAGCTTAGTAGGACTCTTATCTGCTACTTATGCACCTCAATTCAAATAGCATCAACATCATTCGTAGTCAATTTCGTCGTGAAAGCTAATAAGCTTGGAAATAAGGTCTGAGTTTGTAGTAAATGAGCATCTACACACTGTCCTCTTCACTGCTTTTGCGGCACAAGTTACTAAAAAGAAAAATAAAAAAGTGGTTCTATTATGAAACTAAATTGATTTTTATTCAGGAAAAATAAAAAAAAAGTTTCTTTACAAGATTATCTAGTATTACAAATTATATTTTAGCAAATAGTTATTATGCAGGGAAAAAATATTTTATTCATGTTCAGATTAATTAAAATCAATCTCATTAATTAGTAACATATAATAGTGGAACTGTTAACCGCAATATATAATAATATCCATGTCCAATAAACAGGAAGCATGTGGCAATTGATCGTTACCCAGCAAGCGATCCTCTTTCGTTTAGGTTGAACTTTTCCTTTTAATTCCACTCTTTTAACCCCATTGATAAAGATATGACAACTGGTGCAGTTGATACTTTCTCAATATGAGTTGGTAGGTTTTCGCATAAGCTCATTTTTGCATGGTATAGAAGTAAGGGAATAAGTGAATAACAGTTGGAAATGAAAGAATGGTGGGATCCATCGTATGTGATGAAGGATGATTTGACCCAACCTATGAAACGGTGACATGTAGACGTTGATTCGGTGTGAGCAACAACCCAATGTTGAAGCCCGGTGCGACTAAGTGACGGGTCCATGATGTAGTCCGCTACGTTACAGCTCAAGGGGAATAGTCCGCTGAGAAGCGAACTCCGGGCTCCCCGGGCTATCTTTGAAGAGATACTCCGAGGCAACTGTAGCTCATGAGCTAAAGTTATTAGCTCGCCCGAGTTCCCTAGCAGACAAGTCATTACGAGGACCAATTCCACTAAGGATAATCCCGGAGTGCTCCAAGCTCGTCGCAAAGTAGCTCGCGAACGAGCCGCACTAGCGTTCTTCAGGAAGCTTCCGACTGACAGACCGTACCGGTCAGACTGCACCATATCCTCTACTGATGGCATAGTCCTAGTCCTTTCAACAGTCTACGTTACGTCTCTCGGCAGGTAAAGGCGTGCCTGCCACTTTGGAAATGTGTCACTCACCCAGGCGAGGCGTACACCACAACGGCCACCTGCGCAGCCCTGGCAGGTAACGACTGTGGTAGAGGCCCAGTGGCGGTTATGCCCGACCTAGTGTGAGTGTCCCTATAAAAGCCCTCAGGGCAGAAGAAAGCTTTTCTTCTGGGATCTAAGACCTCTTGAATATAGTGGTAACGTGCTATCCACACTCTTAGCTTTCCGCCTCTTCCTTGCTTCTACCGAGTACTGACTTAAGCATCAGAGTGTCCCCGCTGGGCAGCCCCCCAATGGATTCTTCTTATTCTTCCTCATCTCAGGTGTCTTCCAGGAGCTACACGAGTGCCAGCTAGGAGTGACCGGATTGCGCTACATCATTTGGCGCCGTCTGTGGGAAACACTTCAAAAGGCCTTTCTCTCTAAATTCTCGCAGTTCTTTTCTTCCTTGAAAAAATCCAACACTCATGGCTTCCTCTAGCAACGTCGAACGAAGCACGGAAATGGATAACTCCAGAGGACAACCCCAGCTTCCTACTGTCTATATAGGACAGTTCACCGTCCCCTTCTCGGTGGACGGAATCCCCAGCTTGAATGTACCTCTTACAGTAGCACCTATCGTCGCCCCACTCCCTGCTACAATCGGAGCGACGTTCACCGAACCTTCGGTCGTGCCCCCAGCGGCCAACCCGAATCAACTGGAGGACTTGATGCAACGCATGCGGGCCATGCAGGCCCAAATGCAACAATTCCAGCAACTTCAGCTCTATCAACAACATGTGCTGCACCAGGTTTCCCAGTATCAGTATCAGCAGTAGTTCCCCCAGCTGCCTCAACCTCAGCTTCAGCAGCCGYAGTTCCCGCCTCGGCACCTAGCCTCGTAGCAAGCTAGG